GAGAGAGAGGACACCATATAACTACCCCCTGGATATTACCCCTGGAGAAAGTAGATATGATCTAACCACCCCTGGAATTACCCCTGGAATTACTCATAGACTGGAAAACTACCCCTGAGAGAGAGAGGACACCATATAACTACCCCTGGAATTACCCCTGGGGAGAGAGAGGACACCATATAACTACCCCTGGAATTACCCCTGGGGAGAGAGGACACCATATAACTACCCCCTGGATATTACCCCTGGGGAGAGAGAGGACACCATATAACTACCCCTGGATATTACCCCTGGGGAGAGAGAGGACACCATATAACTACCCCTGGAATACCCCTGGGGAGAGAGGACACCATATAACCCCCTGGAATTACCCCCCCTGGAATTACCCCTGGGGAGAGAGAGGACACCATATAACTACCCCTGGAATTACCCCTGGGGATAGAGAGGACACCATATAACTACCCCTGGAATTACCCCTGGGGAGAGAGAGGACACCATATAACTACCCCTGGAATTACCCCTGGGGAGAGAGGACACCATATAACTACACCCTGGATATTACCCCTGGGGAGAGAGAGGACACCATATAACTACCCCTGGAATTACCCCTGGGGAGAGAGAGGACACCATATAACTACCCCTGGATATTACCCCTGGAGAGAGAGGACACCATATAACTACCCCCTGGATATTACCCCTGGAAAGAGAGGACACCATATAACTACCCCCTGGCATTGCCCCTGGACAGAGGAGGCTAACTACCCCTGGAATAACCCCTGGAGAGAGTGGATATTACTTCTGAAAAGAGGAGGCTAACTACCCCCTGGAATTACTCATAGACTGGAAAATTACCCCTGAGAGAGAGAGAGAACATGATATAACTACCCCTGGAATTACCCCTGGAGAAAGTAGATATGATCTAACTACCCCTGGAATTACCCCTGTTATTACCCCTGGAGAGAGTTGCTGTAACTACCCATTGGAAAGAGTGGGCACTTTTTAATTACACCGGAGATATTGTTGGCTACCTAGCTGCCCCCTGGACTAGCCCTGGGGCATGCCTTGCTGCTAATTGCTGAGGAAGCTCCATGCACTTTGGGGGTGCTACTCCAGGGGCCCCAGAAATGAGCTACAAGATGTCCAGCTTCCTGTATATTGGGGACATAGTGTCTCTGTATGCCGAGGGCTCTGTCAATGGATTCATCAGCACCCTGGGGTAAGAAATCTCACTATCTGCCCCTAGGGGGTATCAGGCTGCTCAGCAAACAAGGAAACCACCAAAACCAGATCTAAGACTGTCCTGTTACCTATCTGTCCAGACTGTCCTTTTACCTATCTCCAGACTGTCCTCCAGCTGCTCTCCTCCAAACTGTACCTATGTAACCTATCTGCCCCCCTCCAGACTGTCCTGTTACCTATCTGCCCCCCTCCAGATCTGTCCTGTTACCTATCTGCCCCCCTCCAGAGACTGTCCCTCTGTTACCTATCTGCCCCCCATAGTGTTTTGTTACATATTTACCCCCACAAACCATCCACCAGAGTGTGCTGTTACCTAGCTTCCCCCACAGACCCTCCCCCATAGTGTGGGGGAGAGTCTCAGACCCCTCCAGAGTGCTCTGTTACCTATCTGCCCCCCATAGTGTTTTGTTACATATTTACCCCCACAAACCATCCACCAGAGTGTGCTGTTACCTAGCTTCCCCCACAGACCCTCCCCCATAGTGTGGGGGAGAGTCTCAGACCCCTCCAGAGTGCTCTGTTACCTATCTGCCCCCCATAGTGTTTTGTTACATATTTACCCCCACAAACCATCCACCAGAGTGTGCTGTTACCTATCTGCCCGCACAGACCCTCCCCCATAGTGTGGGGGAGGGTCTCAGACCCCTCCAGAGTGTGCTGTTACCTATCTGCCTCCTCAAACCCTCCCCCATAGTGTCCTGTTACCTATCTGCCCCCACAGACCCTCCCCCATAGTGTGCAGTTACCTATCTGCCCCCACAGACCCTCCCCCATAGTGTGCTGTTACCGATCTGCCCCCACAGACCCTCCCCCATAGTGTGCTGTTACCTATCTGCCCCCACAGACCCTCCCACATAGTGTGCTGTTACCGATCTGCCCCCACAGATCCTCCCCCCTAACTATCTGCCCCTCAACCCCAGAGTATGCTGTTACATATCTCCACCAGAGGTGTGCTGTCACCCATCTCCCTTTAACTCAGAGTGTGCTGTTACCTATCTGCCCCACAGACCCTCCCCTTGTGTTCTGTTACCTATCTGCCCCTACAGACCCTCCCCTAACGATCTCCCCCTCAAACTTCCCCCAGAATGTGCTTTTACCTATCTGCCCCCACAGACCCTACACCAATGTGTACTGTTACCTATCAGCCCCCTCAACCCCCCCAAAGTATGCTGTTACCTATCTACCCCCACAGACCCTCCACCAGAGTGTGCTGCTACCTATCTGCCCCCTCAGACCTCCCAGTGTGTGTTGATACCTGTCTGCCCCCTCAGATCCCCCAGTGTGTGCTGTTACCTATCTTCCCCCACAGACCCTCCACAAGAGTTTACTGTTACCTATCTGCCCCCACAGACCCTCCCAGAGTGTGCTGTTACC